GTCTGTGGGCCATGTCTGGCACACTTGATGCATGGACCATTTTTGAGGATCCTCAAGAAAATCCTTAAAGAATTTTTTTTTATCTCTTCAATTTATTATCAGCACCTTTTATTCCACTAAGGCAGTGTGCCATGAAAGATCAGCAGGTATGCGGTGAAAAAGTATTAAATAATTTATTTCCTGCAAAATAATTTGTCAATGTCAGTGACAGGCAGAACAATTAAAAACTCTTCCACAAGGTGGCAGCAGATTTCTTCAATTCCTGCAACTATATCAGTGTTCAACTAAACAGGCCTAGGTTTCATACCGTTTTGATTGGGATTCCATCTGGCAGTACTTCGAGGTACTAGCCACTAGGCCTCTAACCAAAGGTACCTCACTGCTACTCTGAGACACTGGATGTACACAGACTGTGGAGATGCTGCATTTGGGAAATCATTTTGACTTATTGTGTCATTTTTATGTGTACAAATTGGAACAGCACAGTCACAATAACGAATGAAGTAATTTATAATTTAGAGTACAAAGCTGCATCCAAGCTTTTCTGTCTTTGTCTGTGACACCACGGGTATTTACCATGAGTACTGCAGTAAAGAGCTGCACCAAAACATCTCCCTCCCACTTTCTCACTCAAAATAGATGTAGGACAAGATCATTTAATATTCTACAGACATTAATGATGGCCGTGATCATTTGCTGTGTGAGGCATAGAACTGCATTCAACACACAAACTGTAGTACTGTAAATACAGGACTGGTCCATACATGGATCTACTAGTAGCAAAACAAAACTGAAATTGTGGACATTTTTCAAAAAGAAAAGCAAATATTACAGTCACAGTCTGCTAAAAGTAACATGCTACAAACAAAGACAAAGTAATGGTAACTAATAACTAATCAACCTTTTCATGTCTATTTGATTTTCCCAGCTGCCACTGGAGTTCCAGGAGCGCATCAGTTCACATATGGAGAAACATAATCGCAGTGGTGGAACCACGGTGGCCATGTGTCACTCCAACTACTCTGACGCTGTGCCCACATCACTGATTGCCAAGGTCCTGGAAAAACCAGAACCGGGAAGCAGTTGCCCTGTCACACGTTCACCCAGCCCACAACCACAAGAGGGAGACTTTCTTACAGGAACGGGAAGTACAGACCAACTGAACCGGCGCGTTGCATATAAAACATCTGACCTGTACTGTAGTGACACAGCGCTGTACTGCCCTGAACGATGGCAAGACACTGAGCGCAGGCAAAGTGTTGACCTTCATGGCACTGCACTGCTGCAAATCCATGCGCAGAATTCCACTGACAGCAACCCAGACGAGGAAGCCTATCACTCTGGAAGTTTCTCCCATCATGAGCAGCCGTCCTCTTTCCACCACCACGATGAATACGGCCCCGGCAGCCTACCAGCTTCCAGTTCCTACTCAAGCTTTAGTCTTGCATCAGATGATAAGGGAGGGGTAGGTGGCTGTGGACGCACTGCTAGCAGCACCTTGTCCTCCTCCCACCAGGGTCTCTATATGGAGTGGCGAGATGGTGGCAGTGGGGACTATGAGCGCAAGAGCATGTCTTCATATGAAAAAGACAGTTCCGGCTTCCCAAAATCCCACAGCATCCAGCATATGGCGGCCCCTAGGAGTCCACAAAAGGCCATCTCCCCCGCCTACACGAGGACAGCTTCATGCTACAGTGAACCGTACCATTCAAGCTCCCCTCGTCTGGCCTCTTCCCACAGTATGGGATCTACAACCGGACTTGGCCAACCTCACGACAGAGGTCTGGAGGTTCCTGAGGACGACCTAAGCAACCGCTGGAGACAGCTGAGTGTGGAAGACATCAACACCTTCTCGTCTTCCTATCGAAACCTTGCTGGCCGGGTCTCTCCTTACAGTTTCTCTGAGCACCACTTTGCCATGGGCCCCTCCAGTAAGGTCAAGGGATCTCTTTACAGCAGCTTCAATGAAGGAGATGACGTCTTCCATAGTCACATGATTGACCAGTGCTTTTCTCTTGGCGCTCCGGCCTCACCCAGGCATAGTCCCAAACCAATGGAGCACCACAAAAAGGACAAAACCTCGGTGTTGTACAGAGGCACTGACGATGGTGAGGAGTCAGAGCGCAGTCTGTTCCTCTCAGGGAGCTCCAAAGACAAGGAAAGTAGTGTTGGCGCATCAGCGTCCAGCAAGGACTACGTCAATCTGAGAGAAGACAGCTCAGCAGAGTCCTTACATCACAGCTCGCTCGAGGCCTCAAGTCTTCAACACTACCCTACACCGCGACCAAGCGTCCGCCAGCGGCCCAGCTCAAGCTCCGCTCTCAGTGTCGGCCCCGCTCTCCCAAAGAAGAACTCTCCAAGATACCAAAAATTTGGCAGCACAGGACTGACGCGGAAAGACAGTTTGACCAAGGCACAACTTTATGGTACACTACTGAACTGACCCAGAACAACTTCACTTTTATGCATGATATTGAAGATTCCTACCTTACTGTACTGTACTGTAATGTACTGTATGTCTCTTCTACAGCAAACCTTCTCTGTGTGATGAGGTGTTAAGATCTCTTAGCCAAGGCCAGTTTTTTTTTCATCACATGTCAACACGTAGCTACCTGAGACCAGCTATTCAGTGTTTTCCATGACAATGATAATTATAGACACTGGGACAAATTCAATAGAGATCTATTTGCTGGTTTACAGTGTGGGGTACGGAAATGACTTCCTCAGAGAGACTATTAGATCCTGCTTCATTATATAAAGAAAGAATGAAAGAATGGAGTGGCCATAATGGAATTACATTTGCTTATTTTAGGGGGAGTTGAAATGTGCCCTGTCGACTGCCAGCTATTAAAGGGAATTGTCCATTTTGTAATTTCTAAACAGGAAACACTTGCAGCCATAGTTGTGAGCATTGACTCTGTATAGGAAATGGGTGCCAAGAAACTTACTGGTACCGAGAAACCGTTGTAACAATTAAATTCGACAGAAAAAGCACTCTGCTAGTCAAAGAAGCAACTACCAGTGAATAGACGGATACATCCACATCTTCAAAAAAACAAAAACAAACAAACAACAACGCATCTTCAAAAAAAAAACAAAAACAACAACAACATGGTAATTCTAAGATTTTTTTAAATTATAATTTGTCCAACCGTGGTAATTCTAAGGTTTTTTTTAAATTATAATTTGTCCAACCGCAAGCTAATTGCAATAAACAATTTCCACAACTCCTGCAACACAAAAAAAACCCCCAAACATATACATTATACACTCTACACTTACGCTGCGTTCACACCAAATGCGATAGACGCAGGGGGAAACAATTTGCAGTGCCTGTATCGCACCACATGATCAGATTTGGATCGCTTCGCTTTGACAAGCGCGAATAAAGCGAAACACAGCAAGACACAGTCAATAATATAGTAAAAACAAGCAACAAATAATCTCACAACTTACCAGAGGACGCCACCTCCTAACTACCGTTGGCCCATGTCTTTTCTTCTTTATTCCAGTCCCGATAAACCACACACGGCGATGATAAACTTTTCCTTCATTGTTGCAAACTTTTCGCTGAAACGTCGGGTTAAACTCATCGTTGACTGGTGATTCCGTCGGAAAAGTTTCCGACATCGTTCACGTGGCGTCAGACACTCATTCACTCCATCCCCCGGTCTCGCCGCCTAAAACGCATGTTGTTGCACTATTTACATTGATTGTGAATAGAGAGGTGTGAACCGCACCATACACCATTTCCTACCACACTTTATTATCTCTTTTAAAAGCTTCCCATTAAACATAACTTCGCTTATGTTTAATAGAACGTTAATGTAGATTTATTCATCCATAGTTTAGACGATTTAAACGCCCATTTCCCGTACACTATCTAAAAAAACAGTTTTAGGTAAAAAAAATATTTTTTCCTAAAAACTGTTCAACATTTATATTTTGACTTCAGTCTGAACAGTTTCTACGACACTACTATTTTTTCGTAGTTTCTACATCAGATGATGATGATGAATTCAGAGAGCGGTTGACAGACCAGGACACTTGTGAAATTATTCAGAGAGCAGTTGACAGACCAGGACACTTGTGAAATTGCCTTAATTCTGTCGATTGGACTGAGAGCGTCTCACAACCGTGTCCCTAGTCAATATCTGCTGTATTGTCCATGTAACTTACATACTGTACCATTGCTGTGAGGACAGTTCTTCCTACTGAATAACATGAACACAATCAGCTCAAGGTGGAAACTTCAAAGACCAGGAGATAGTGGTTTAAATGAGGATATTTTGCCAAGATTTGAACCAAGATTTCAGCAAGACCTTAAGGACACATCCATCCAACCTTCTTACAAATACAAAGCACTGTATTTCTTTAGTCATTGAGTTGTGTCGTTAGGCAACAGAGAGACAGTTGGCCTCGTTGTTGTTTTGTGTTTAGACAAGGACAGACTGGACTGGATTTTTTGAAATTGTTTTGCTATTTTTCAAAACGCTCAAAATAGAATTACTAGGGCTGTGCATCATAAACGAAGACTGTACGTCCCCACTGATCGTGATCTATACACTATATTAAAAAAGAACAGGATGGGCCTGGACTTTGTCCAGTTCATCTCGAATGACCTTTTTTTTAGTTTTGAGTTAACATCATTTGTCCGACTATCACGTCGCACATACGGCAGTTTGTTACTTCTGAAGATATGAAAGAAAAAGGATATGGCATTTGGCGTTGAATCTTCACGATGCTTGTTGTCCCTCGGGCATATTTTTCCGCTCTGTCCAACTCTTTGTTATGACTGGACAAGTCCTGGGAAGCAGCTGTCCTACGGTGTTAGCTGGCTGAAGTTTGCACCGCAGCAGGAAATGTTAGAGAAGTTACCAAAGCAACCTAGGAAAACTGATGGTTTATTCTGATAACAGTCAAACACACACATACTGTAACGGTGTCCTTCAGGAGTTGGGTAAATATTGCATGGCACTTGTAATGATATTTTGAGCACTTACAAAAGTACAAAATGTTTTCAACGGGAAAACAAACGTGCTGGTGGTTCCTGTTCTCTACGATATTTCTGTTCCAGATGCACTTAAAAGAGTTTTGAAACGTGTACAAACAGGTCGTTTAAATAAGCTGTACAGTCAGTGTGTTGTTTTTAAACCAGCATGCTCAGTTAGGCTATTTTAGAGAAAAACACTGTGACAATAGAGAAAGTGTGTGTGTGTGTGTGTGTGTGTGTGTGTATAAACAGTGCATACATAGAAAGGGACAAAGTTAATATGTTGTTGTTAGGAGGAGAGTCTCAGAGACTATAATGTTGATGATTAGAAGACGACAGAAGACGAGTACGCAGGTGTGAAGAAGCTTGAAGGATTTCTTCCTGCCTGAGATCTGAGAGGAATGGTGACAGGGATACACTGAAGAGGAACTGAACTCTGCTTTGCCCTCCAGTGAATATGCCAAGTTTTTTTTTTTTTTAATCACCTGCTCCTACCTCCCCCATTCACACTGCAGATCTGGGTCCTGACTTGAGGCTGTTTGTAAAGCTGCGTCTCTCTGTTTTGTCCGCGTGAAGTTAGAAAAGCGAATCCCACATCACACAGGCCACACGAGTCTCCCGTAGTACAATATTCTCATTACGTGCAGTGAAAAGAATGGGAGAGGTGGTAATGAATTAAGTATTTCTACTGTGCGTATAAAAGGACATGTAAATGATGAATACATAATGAGGACACAGTGGCTAATTTTACCCCGTTTCTTGTGGCTGTTATATTAATGAAGAGTCCTGAATGAAGAGGCTGAAGTGGTTCTCTTCTACCTCCAGCTCTGTTCCATGAACAACAGGTCAACTGTCCAAATGTCCAGTCCACAAACTGTATGTGTCTGTCTGATGCATGGTTATATATTTTTGATGTACATTTATTTACTTAATAAAGACGTCTGTTTGAAAAAAAAACAAAACAAAAAAAAACATTGTGATTTGATTTTTATGAGATGTGGGTCGAACATTTTTGTGCTCAGTGCAAACATGGCAGCCCCTGGAGGTAGAAGCTGTAAATATATCATTTTATGGAATAAATCTCACTAAAATTGTTTTAATAATTACCAAAATGTATTGGAATAACCAAGCATCAGCAGAGCGCAGCTGAACACTGGAGAAACATTTACTGATGAAACTTTTCAGAGACACCTCAGACTCTCTCTCTGTCTCTGTATCAATACAATCAAATACTAAAATCAGACAAATGAAAACATTTGCTGTTCCTAGAACTCATTGAAAGGCAACATTTCATAAAGTACATTTTCGTTAATATTTTATTATTACATTCTGACCTAAACAGCCAACACAGTTAAAACCTTCAACCTGTGTTTACGTCTAAACTATGGTCATCCGGGACACCTTTCCTCAAAAGGCCTGATATTCCCAATAGCTTAAGTATCCAATCACAGTTTTCCTCTTTTCCAAAGCTCCACATTCTCTTCATTCTTGTCTATTGATACATATCAACATCAGAAGACTATTCTCAGCGGATCTTTTTTCTTTTTTTTTTTTGCATCAAACTACAACTTCAGACTTCAAGAGCAAAACGGAAATGTGTATTTTTAAAGTCCATTTTTACTACAAAATGAAAAACAAATACATACTTAAGTCTAAAGCTTGGTTGTAGACTGACAGCACTGTGAAAGATCCACACAGTGCTGTGACAGACATCACGGCACCTTTTTTTTTCCAAGTTCTAAGATCTGTTGTTATCTCTGTGATCATCTTAGCTGTCAGCGCAAAATAGAAAAAAAAATGTAAAAAATAAAAATTCAGAACAGAGAAGAACAAAAGATTTAAAGAATGCGGAAGTGAAAACGTTCGATAGAAAACACGTCTGATTAGAAAATGCCAGCAGAAATGTTTTTATTTTTTTATATTCCCAAAAATAAAAAATAAAAGGGCATAAAAACATAAGTTGCTGTCTTCAGGCGGCATTTGAAGTGGAAATATGAAAAAGAAACAACACTAAAGAAGTGTGTGTGCGTGCTTCACCGCCTTCTTTCCACCCACCACTTGAGATAAAACTCATAATAGCTGGCTCTTTGAACTGTTAAAAAACCTCCTTTCATCTTATGCAGTGTGACGTTTCCTGATTTGTAAGATAAATCACATGTTAACACCACACTAACTTTTGTCAGTTAGCTCAACTCCATATCACTGTCCTCGACGATGGAGCTTTTCAACGCAGTAAAGAAACTTTTTTTTTCCCCAGTAGATGGCAGATAAAGGCTCTTCACGCTGACATGACAGGATACAGTCCTGAAGTGTGTGGAGTTTAAAGAAGTCTCTAATTTTTTAAAGCCTAATGTTTAAAAATCACAGTCGTGCCTTCAGTGCCAGACCTTAATCTCACCTGTCCAGTCACAGGTGGCTGCAGTAGCCGGAATGACAGGATGCTGCGAGACACACAAACATGGCTGGCTGTGGGCGTGGAGGGTGTGAAGCAGCCGAGTGTTGTGGTAGTCGTAGAAGTGAGCTGAGCCGCTGGAGCTCCCCGAGGCCAGGGTAGTTCCATCTTGGGAAAATTCACAACGCACTGCGTATCCCTCCACCTGGTACAGACACGTGGTACAGTATCAGATATGTTAGTAGGGTACAAGTCTACGACTGACAAGCTACTGATGCAACTGTCCAATGACTGTGAGGGACCGTAGACCGATTGAGGACAACGTCGTCAACGAAGATTTTAAAGAAAATCCTGACGAGATCCACAAGCCACCAATAAGGTAAAAACATATTTTTGTATGATTTGAGTTGTAATTTAGTGTATGTGTTTTTACATTTTTCCACATAAAAGAAATCCATCATTTGGATTAGTCACAAATAAAATCTTACATCAACCACAAGATTAGTTAGGATTAATCATCATCAATGATTGATCTGATTAAAAATTTTGGTCAGTTGACATCCCTACTATACACACACACATACAGTATATATGTCTACATCTGTCTCTGTGTGTATATATATTTATATATAAACACACATATACATATATACATATATACAGATATACATATATATGTATAAATACATAAGAAATGTACACATGTATATATATAACCACATGTGTGTGTGTGTGTGTGTGTATTCAGTCTCTGTAATACTACAGTGCAAACAGGAAGTAAAGTAAGTGACAAACTAAAGCTTTTTTATAACTGAAAATAAAACTAATAATTGTTTTTTAATAATCATTGATTCTAGTCGTGGACCTTGAGAGGTTTGGGAGCCGGGGGTTTGAGAACCCTGCACCAGAGTAGGAAATTAATCTCTGTCGACTCTTTACATGTACCAGTGACCATGTGAGGCAGACTGGAAAATACACAGAATACATCTTTTGTAATATACAGTATGTCACCAACCTCAGGATGAGTGGCTGTTGTTGTCAGTGAATTTGCTGTAACATCAGTGAGGCTCGTATGACTGCCGGCCGGCGAAACATGTTACCAGTGATGGAGGTGTTTCATTCCAAATATCACACACAAGGTGGACAGAGATGAAAGTGTTTGGAAAGTGAAATTGTTTGATTTCTTATGTTATCTTATGCCCATTCACTCAGGGTGACAACCAGTGAAAAAACAACACATCAACAAAGCAGACTTCACTGCCGCAGCTCCAAAAGACACCAACAAATGGCTCCACTGTGTTTGAATGGCTCAGTAAATCAGTAAACAAGTCTACACTCTGTATGAAAATGAAAATGATTGTTGTCACGCATGCATATTGTGGCACGACACACCGCTTCTGCACATGTAGGTTCTCGTCCCACTGTGCCGCTCTCTGTATCGATCAGGCACGGCGAACTCCCACAGGCCTCCACGGCGATCATTACTGACCTTGTGTCCTTTGTACTGCCGCCTCTTGTTCATTCTGTAGGGCCGCTGAGACGAGAACGCGGCCATGTAGTTCCCGTTGGTCTGGACAACGAAGCAGGGCTCCAGTGGGTGGAGAGTCAGGCTGGGACATGTGTACCGCTCCTGGTTGACACATTAGAGAAGGGGGAAACACGGGAGTGGAATTTTATTCATTATTTGACCTTTCCCTGACGTGAAGGACCAGGGAGTCAGTATGCATGTTAACTAATCTGGAAATCTGGAGAAGTCTTGGTTGTGGTGGTGTTATTTCTGAAGCTGTACTGCATCATTTCATATGCTAGAAGTCCTGGTTGTGGTGGTGTTATTTCTAAAGCTGTACTGCATCATTTCATATGCTATAGACGACTGTGTAGCCTGTTATTTTGATCCATCCGTTCATTAACATTTTTTTTTTAATGTTAATGAACGAAATGAAAATGAATGAAAATTCTAAAGCACTTTTCAGACGTCCTGTAGAGTTTCAATTTTATTGCAGAAACACTGAAACAAAAGGGAGTTCAAAAAAAAAAAAAAAGCATAAAAGCATAAAAGCCTTTCTATTACATAGCAGTCACCCAGTACAATGAAGGCTCCCTGCTGTGCTGTTCTACCTGTGCACTCACTTCACCACCAGGATAAATCCAGCATGTTCACACGATGTTGAGAATATTCTCGGATGTATAAGAAATAATAATAATTTAACCTGCAGATGTTCTTACATGGTAGATCTGGTTGGAGAGCCTGGCTGTGGTCTGGAAGTCCCAGGCGATAAGAGTGCGGTCGGCGGAGTCTCTGCTAACGCTGTCGGAGCTGGTGATGAAGTCACCGCCGCCTCTCAGAAACAGGATGTCCAGCGTCTGTTGAATGCTTGCTTTATATGTTTTAACAACCTGGGCAGACATAGAGGGTAAGGTAAATGATGGGTGGATGGATGGATGGATGGATGGATGGATGGATGGATGAATGATAGATAGATAGATAGATAGATAGATAGATAGATAGATAGATAGATAGATAGATGGATGGATG